ACACTGTAACGTAAGGCGTCATTTCCCCAAAATATTTTGGAAATCGATAGATTTGTTTTCTGTGTGTTCTTACCTTGCATCAATTCCAGGTTCCATTACTTCTCTCCGTGCTGTTCAGAAACCAACACATTCCCGGTCTGTCCCCTAACTCTCCGGAGACTTTGCTGGTTCCTACACGGGCACGGCCTCGGAGTCGATTCCTCTGCGAGGCCCACAGAGACACAGCAGCGCACACCAGACGCACCAGGTCTGAAGTGTGAAGACCGAACACAGAGCAGAGCCGAACCCGGGGAGGCCCGCGGACGGCAGCACCGGCCCACAGTCCCGGACACGCAGGAGAGCCAAGGCGCATGGCTCCGCTTTTCTGAAGAGGCGGCAGTGGGCTCCAAACAAGAGCTGCAGGAACTGCAGAGAAAGAATCAAACTCGCTCCTCCAGCCTTTGTGACCACAGGTGGATGGAGCCGCACGTGGCTTCACCTCGGAGAAAATCACCACCTGCTCTCAAGGGCAGCTCTGCTCCCCTGGTTCCCACCAGCTCGGACCAGGCCCCAGCAAACAGGCGTCTTTGCCAGGTCGTCACGGACGTCCCACGCTCGCCTTCCCTCCTCGCCCGAGACCCCAAACGCAGGTTGGCAACACCAGGATTCCAGGAAAATGTTATTAGTCTGCAAAGATACGTGTTTACGAGAGACTCGGGGCCTTGTGACTTGCACACAGCTGAATGACTCCCCTGGGTAGGTTCCAACTTTATTAGCTCTGCCCCCAGTAAGGACGCTAGGATCCTTTCCACCCCGGGAACCCCGCCGGTCCCCAGCCCACCTGGAGGACCTCCTGACTCGGAGCAGGTGCCTGTACTTCTACCTCAGAAAACAGGTGACCAAGTGTGAGGCCTCATCACGCACATCTGAAAGCACTTGCCATACCCTCCTTGGGCCACACACTTGACCTACTTCCCAAGGAAGACCTGCCACTCGAAGGCAATGGATCACCGTGAGGCTCAGAAAGCACTCACGCAGAGAATGCTACAGACAGTACCAGTCCGCCTTCCTGCTAGAAACCTCCAGAAACGCTGCATAAAATAGGACAACGCTCTTCTCAGAGAATCTAGTTTGCAAGAAAGCAACAGCGATCACCAGCTGGCGAAAAGGAGGAAAAGAAGCAGCTAACACTGTTCCCAACAGGTGAGAGCTGTCCTGGGAGCCAACCAACAGGTTCATGTTTTAAAAGCTTGGGAAACAGCCCGGCCGGTGTGGCTCAGTGGTTGAGCATCAACCCTGCACCAAGAGGTCGCTGGTTCGATTCCCGGTCGGGCCACATGCCCAGGCTGTGGGCCTGATCCCCAGTGAGAGGCATGGAGGAGGCGGCCAATCAATGTTCTCGCTCATCAATGTTTCTATCTCTCTGCCTCTCTTTTCCTCTCTCTCTAAAAATCAATAAAGAAAAAAAATTTTTTTTAATATAAAAAAAATAAAAGTCAGAGGGTAGCCGGAGCGAAAGGGGAGACTCGGAGAATGTTTCCCAGTCAGAACACAGCAGAGAAACGCCCTCCATCTGCCCGAGCTCAGGGCGGGCGGGGTGCAGCCCCGGGAACGCGGGGCACAGCCTGGCCGCTGCTGAGCGCGGACGAGAGCCCCCTACCCCCGAAGTGAATGCGGGTCAGCCAGGACTTCTGAGACAGGCTACGAGGGGCAGCTGGGTCAGCCCTGCCCTCCGCCCCGATCAGCTGGACGGCTGCACAGCGTGTAGGACACAAGTGTTTGTCAAGGACAATGGACAGGACAAGGCAGAGACCCCTGAACAAAAGGACACAAACGAGGGCCCTGCCATCCCTGGCCTTCCCCCCGAGACCGTGCCGTGAGCCTCAGAGAAAGGACGCGAGCACACATGGCCTGGTCACAGTGGAGAAGCCCACCCGCATCGCAGGAGGTGGTCAGGAGTAACACCGTGATGTGGAGGGGAAGGAAAGGTACCGGGCCTCTGCGGGGCCCCCAACACGCACAGCCCAGGCTCATCACAGGGGAGCGCTGGATGAACCCGACGTGAGAGGCGGCCTGTGACCTCGTCCTGTGAACTCGCCCGGCCAGTGCTCTTCAAAACCACCAGGGTCACGAAAAACAAGAACTGAGCAAGCGTCGCAGGGACAGAGACGGGCGGCACAGATGAGACGGGAGGGGGGCTTCTGTCCATCTTCTCACCCAGCTGTGACTCTCAGAACCGCAAGGTTTCCCCAAATAAACCGGGAAAACCAAACCAAGATGTGGAGGGAACCGGACACGGAACACAGCAAACCACGGCCCCAGGAAGGGGAGGGAGAGCCGCTCAGGCCGTGGGAAGCCCTGGGCGCGGGGTCGGGACCAACCCTGCTACTATGTTGATGTGTGCCTGGAGTTTAGAAATGAGTACATTGTAGGTCACATGAGCCAGGCGCTTCACTGCCCGGGAAAGACGTCACAGATGAGGGAAACGGAAGCAGATCCGGTGGCATTCGATTGAATCAGAAGTATCAGTATAAACTCCTGTTTTTAGTATATACAAAAACATAAAAACACAGATGTGTGCACTCTCTCGTATACGTAATTTCCTAGCTCTGTCCTCTCGCAGGGCCTAGAAGCCAGGACACCCCAGCAGCAGTGCGCACACCTATGTGAGAAGAGGTTTCTAAACACCATTCTCCAGTGAAAGTAACCTGGGGTCTGCCGGGGTGGCTCAGTGGCTGGGCACCGACCCTGCACCGGGAGGTCGCCAGTTCGATTCCCGCTCAGGGCACGTGCCCAGGTTGTGGGCCTGATCCCCAGTGGGGGGCGTGCAGGAGGCGGCCAGTCGATGTTTCTATCTCATCGATGTTTCTATCTCTCTCCCTCTCCCTTCCTCTCTCTCTCTCAAATCAATAAAGGAAAAAAAAATTTTAAAGACTTTTCTAAAAAAAAAAGCAACTTGGGCTTCTCAGAGAAGAGTGATGATCCCAGGGGTGGGGCAGGAAAAGGTGAGTCTGTACCACTTGGTGGCGTCAGAATGAATGTACCCAGAAGCCGACTCACCGAGTTCCCAACGGGCAGAACAGTGTCAGCAAGCAGAACAGTAACAGTGGGCTTTAACCCACAGGGGAAGCAAGACCCAGGTCCATGCTGACACAAATAGCCAGATAAGTGAGCACAGGCGAGGCGGGCACTGCTTTTCATGGCACGAGGGTTCTGAGAAGTGAGTGCGGAAGGGGGCGGCGACTCGGGACTCAGACCCGCCCACAAGTGCAGAAACTAGGGGGCTTATGTGAGGGGAAAAGAATATCTACCTGACCGCCAAGCACCCCAAGACACTTATTAACGACAAGGGGAGAAACAGTAGCACTGTGGTGGAGACCAAGTGCCCAAGGGGGGGCAGGGTAAGGACGGCCCTTACAGGGACACCAGGATGCATCTTGGACACCAGCCTCTGAGTAGTGTGCACTTTTTGCCAAAAATGCAAAGCCTCCCTCCAATCACACCAGTTTGTCAGACAAACCCAAAATGAGGAAGAGCCCACAAAACACTTGGCCAGCACTCGATACAAACGTCCGGCTCAAGTCCGGCGGCTGCGGCTCAGTGGATGGAGCGCGACCCATGGACTGAGAGGGCCGGTTCGATTCCCGGTCAGGGCACATGCCCAGGTTGTGGCCCGATCCCCAGTGGGGGGCATGCAGGAGGCGGCCAGTCGATGTTCTCTCTCATCGATGTTTCTATCTGTCCTTACTCTCCCTCAAAAAAAAAAAAAATCAATAAAAACAAGTTTTTTTAAAAAGGTCTGTCATGAGAGGCAAGGGGAGGCGCTGTCAGAGATGGTGGAGGCCGAGAACACACGCAGGGGGCCGGGCGGCGCCCAGGGTGAGGGTCCGAGGGCGCAGCTGGGTGGGCGGCGCTGCCGGCCCGGGGTGGTGGGGCACTAGAGGCAAGGGGCGGGTGTGTGGCGCCTGTGCTGATGCGGCCGCTCTTCTTTGGTCTAAACTTAGCTAAAGGAAAGGTTCTCCGTCTGCGCTCCGCCCTGGCTTAGAGAACGCCCCAGCAGCCTGCGACTCAACGCAACCAGGACACGACCACGCGGAAACGTGGCGGGAAGTGAGACGCAGGGCAGCTGCGCGGGGCGCAGCACACGGAGAACTGCGCTGGCGGAGCCCGACACCCCGGGCCGGACCACAGGACCCCAGGACCGCGGCCGCCCGCAGCGGGCAGGAGCTCCTGGGTGCGCGGACCGCTCTTGGTTCGGTTTGGGGGTTTTGCGGGGGGTGGGCTGAGAGAAAGGATTTCTAAACTAAAAATGTATGCAGTTGATCAGAATTTGCCAAAGAACACCCCTCCTGCCTCTGCTGTGGATCCAGACGTGTGGGGGTTCAAGCTCACCCCTGGTTATTAAAATACATCTTCATGAAACTTTTACAGTTGTGCTGCTCTAGTTACAAATAGCTTCTACTTTTCTAGGACATAATTTCACTTTGTTTAAGCAAGAATTCATTAAAGCAGCTATAAATAGCCTTCAAACGCTGGCGTGAAACGGCTGGACGGCATTGATGGCTTACTCTAGTTCCGGTGCGGAATCTTTCTGAAGCTGCATGTCAGTCAGCTCGCCGAGGCCGACGGCCGCGCTGGCCACGGCCTTTTCTGGGTTAGCATCAATTTCCGTATTTTAAGGAGTTTTGCTAAAAGTGGATATATTGCAATTATCTACTGATAGAAAAGTAGCCTTAGAGAATGAAAGTGGCGGGAAGACTAGAACATAAAATTTCTTATTTTAAAAAGATCTTTTAAGCATGAAGACAGCCTTTCTGTCTCCCCAGCACAAGGCCGGTGCGACGGCCCACCCAGGACAGAGCTCCCGGGACCGAGAAGGCAGGGTGTGCTCCGCAGTGTGTGTAGCCCGCAGATAAATCACACATGTTCATACTCGATTTTGAATAATAAAGTTCACAACATTTTCGAGACCAAGTTTCATAAAATTTTTACTTGAAAAAAAATGTTTTACAAAATCCCATTCTTCCGACAAAGCGACTTTCCCCCAGGCCACAGCGCACTTCCTGCCGTCGAGATGACAGTGACCGTCACGGGGAAGGGCGGTGAACAGCCACCTAGCTGCAAAACTCACAAGTAGATTTTTTAAAGTGCCTTTGAAATGCTAAAGCAAGTAACAGAACTGCTGTCTGGGCGTTCCGAGGCCCGACCCGGCCGCGTGGTGTGCACGCCCGGCGGCACAGGACCGCGTGTCCAGCAGCGGACAGCACCCGGAGGAGCCCGAGCAGCCGCACCGCGCCTCTAGGCGAACCGGCCAGAGGGGACCGTGCTCAGAGCGGCCACACGGGCTGGACAGTCGGTACCGCAGTCGCTGACCTCCGGATGCCGCCGAAAGCAGCGGAACTTGCTTCCCAGTTAACTCAGGACACTTGGGCTCCAGCCGCGCGGACGCATTTGCAGTGTGTGCTGAACCAGCGCAGACTGGGTTCAGGACACGAACCCCATTTCCTAGGCAGGGCCTAGTTTCTCTGCTGCAATCTGGCAGCTTTGAACTTGGAAACCCTCTTCACAGCGTCTGATGCTTCCGACACCAGCTCCTTCCGCTCAGGAATCGCGGGCAGCGCAGGGTGGGCCGCGGCCGGGTGTGGGGTCAGGCAGGGCGACAGCTCTTTTTCTATGACGGTCCCAGAAAAGGCCTGGAAGACAAGGGCAGAGTAAGGCAAGAATGTCCACGGAAGATCCCACAAAATCCTCCATCCTGCGTCTGTGGACGGGAACGAAGGCCCCACCAGCAACGGTCTGGCGCCGCCTGGGCACTGGCTCTGCTGCACTGCAACAGGCCGTGCGCGCAGCTGGGCCCGAACCGAGACGCATCCGCACAGACCGCTGCGCAGCCGCCTATGAAACCCGGCAGCACTCTTAGACGTCTGGTGTTTGGAACTTCATCTTCTAAGACTCATTATGTACAAACTAAAATCGGACATGGAGCCCTGGCCGGTTTGGCTCCGCGGTTAGAGCGTGGGCCTGCGGTCCTGAGAGACCCGGGTTCGGTTCCCGCTAAGGGCATGTACCTCGGTTGCAGTTTGTCCCCGGTCCTGGTCGGTTGTGCGGGTGGCAGCCACTGGATGTGTTCCTTTCGCATCGATGTTTCTCTCTCTCTCTCTCTCTGTTCCTCTCTCTCCCTCCCACTCTACCTGAACAAAAAATGGAAAAATGTCCTCGGGTGAGGATAAAAATAAATAAATAAATAAATAAATAAATAAATAAAATAAAATCGGACATGGAAACTCTCACGTACGTTTGCTTACCTTTGTGTACCAAGGGTACAAAATTACCTAAGACAATGTATTACTTGAATAGTGTTTTGTTGTGTTTTTCTGGTACGTGCCCCTAGCAGGAACCGAACCCGGGACTCTCTGGTGCGCAGGTCGATGCTCCAACCGCTGAGCCACATGGGCCAGGGCTTGAATAGTATTTCTTAATAAATTATTAGTTATCTAAACAGTACAAGCCTGGCACTGATTAAGTCCTGTAACTTCTGAGAGTAAATACATGTATAAAGTGAAGCTACAAGATAAACAATGCCATTACCCAGACATTCAACGTCAATAAATAAAATAGCTCTGGCCCCTTTGGCTCTGCGGTTAAAACGTCCGCCCGGGACCAGAGTCCTGGGTTCAGTTCCCACTAAGGGCACGAACCTCGGATGCAGTTTGTCCCCAGCCCTCGTTGGGTCGTGTGGGTGGCAGCCACTCCATGTGTCTCTCTCACATGGATGTTTCTCTCTTTCTCCCTCTCTCCCTCCCACTCTATCTGAAGATAAATGCAAAAATGTCCTTGGTGAGGATAAAAATAAGTAAACAAAGCAAAGGCTGCGAGATGAACTACAGACCACACCTGGGAGCTCGGACAGCTGCACCTGACACAGGACAGGACGGTCCCCTAAAGAAACACCTCCCAGCACCGACAGGAACCAGGGGCGCCCCTCTGAAGGGGCAGCCACCTCTCAGAGCTGCCCAGGACTGACAGAGCACACACCTCAGGGGCCCCCGACGCGGGAGGCAGCCCCTCCTCCAGAATGCTGTCGCAGGGGTCGCTGCAGGCGTCCTCGCAGCTGAGGCTCCGCAGCAGCCCACGCCGCTCCTCGAAGTCGGCGGCGCTGCTCTCGCTGGTGTCGCTGCAGACGCTGTTCTCCCGGCTGCGTGACTTCAGGATGGACTTCCGGGGCACGTACTCCCCGTTCACGAGGTCCACGAAGACCCTGTGGAGCCGCGAGCACACCCCTTAGGAGCTCCCTGGGACAGTTACCCCATCTGTGAAAATCCTTCCTAGAAATTAATCTGAAACGTTTCACTCCAATGCATTTCTAAAATTTTCACAATCAAAATAACTCTGGAGCCTCCACTAACATAGTTTGTGCTTTTGAAAAAGTAACGCGGGGCCTCATAAAACAGCACTTTACTTATAAACACGTTCTGGGTGACAACAGCTTGATTGGCCAAAACCCTGCCAGTGCCCTGCTCCCACGTAGCCGACAGTGGAACCTTCCGCAGCCCGCGTGGGCGGTACAGCCGACCCCGTTCTGGCCCAGCTCAGCGAGGGCGGAGCGCACTGTCCTGCGGCCCCGTGAAAAGGCCCCCGCCGGGCCCACCGGAAACACACTTTCATTTAGAAAGTTAAGGTACATTTCTGACTAGAAAAACGAGGGAGGTTTTGAAAGCACTGGCAGCGAGGGGAAACGGAGAAAGTGAGTGACACTCCGAGGGCTCTGGGCCAGGAGCCTCGTGGCCGGGACCGCCCGCGCCCAGTGGACCAGCAGCCTCGTGGCCGGGACCGCCCGCGCCCAGTGGACCAGCAGCCTCGTGGCCGGGACCGCCCCGCCCAGTGGACCAGCAGCCTCGTGGCCGGGACCGCCCCGCCCAGTGGACCAGCAGCCTCGTGGCCGGGACGCCCCCGCCCAGTGGACCAGCAGCCTCGTGGCCGGGACCGCCCCGCCCAGTGGACCAGCAGCCTCGTGGCCGGGACCGCCCGCGCCCAGTGGACCAGCAGCCTCGTGGCCGGGACCGCCCGCGCCCAGTGGACCAGCAGCCTCGTGGCCGGGACCGCCCGCGCCCAGTGGACCAGCAGCCTCGTGGCCGGGACCGCCCGCGCCCAGTGGACCAGCAGCCTCGTGGCCGGGACCGCCCCCGCCCAGTGGACCAGCAGCCTCGTGGCCGGGACCGCCCCCGCCCAGTGGACCAGCAGCCTCGTGGCCGGGACCGCCCGCGCCCAGTGGACCAGCAGCCTCGTGGCCGGGACCGCCCGCGCCCAGTGCCTGCAGAGGCCCGGCTGCTGGGCAGCTGCTCACCTGTAGATGTCGGCGGGGGTCCTAATGGTGGGCAGCTCCGGGGCAGGGTGGCCACCGCCGCAACTGTTCTTTCGCTTCCGTTTGGCTTCCTCCTTCTTCTCACTGAATTTTAAAGTGGTATTTTTCCCAGTATTTATTCGAACCTAAAAAGTTCACAGCAAAAAATGACAATCCTTTTGAGATCTGAAGTCGAGGTCAACGCTCAGCCAATGCGCTCGGCCCTGAAGGAGGGGAGGGGAGGGGCAGCGCGCGTCCGCGCCTCCCTCCACCATGACCTGCTGAGTCAGACAGGGCCCGGATGTCCGCCTTCCCCTTAACAGGCTCCACAGCACTGAGCACATCCATTAACGACCATCTCCACCCTCAGAAGCAGACAGAAGGCCCTGAACCACACGTCTGGCCGCACAGGTGTTCAGTCAGTGCCCTGGACCTCTGGAGACGGGACGTCTCCGCCACCTGCGGCGGCCGCGCTGCACCTGCCAAGGAGCGGGGCGCGCACGCCACACCTGCCGGTGGGCGTGGCCGCCTCCACGCTGTCAGTGCGCGGCGTGCGCGCACCGTGTGACGCAGCCCCGGCAGTGCTGACAGGCCACCTGGTGGACAGAGGCCGTGAGCTCGCGGTGCCGACAGCTCGACAGCCTACGAAGGTGTGTTATCTGCGCCCAGGTGTCCTGGGAGTCGGCGTCACACAGAGTTTCGGCTGTGTGGGGTCAGTCCCCGCACTGGTCGGGGTCGGCTGCACATTAAACTGCGCGATGTACACTACGCACTGTCCCAACACCCATCACTTTGATGTGACTTTCACTTACATCATGCATTTCAAGACAAGGGCACAACTGTAACAATATAAAATTTAAGTCATGAAAGCAATAGAGCCTGGCCGGTGTGGCTCAGTGGTTGAGCGTGGACCCTGCACCCAGAGGTCGCTGGTTCGATTCTCGGTCAGGGCACAGGCCCAGGCTGTGGGCCCGATCCCCAGTGGGGGACATGCAGGAGGCAGCCAATCCACGTTCTCTCTCATCGATATTTCTCTCTCTCTCTCCCTCTCCCTTCCTCTCTCACTAAAATCAATAAAGAAAAAAAAATTTTTAATAATAAAAGCAATAGTAGAGAATGCTTAAATGTTTAAAGTTTTTAAACCACCCCTAATTTCTAGAAATCAAACTAAAAAATAAAACCAACCCTGTTCAGGGTTCTCTGTTCCTCTTGTGTCCCCACTGGGCCTCCTACCGCACTGGCCCCCGACACCCCACAGACATTCTTTACTCCTTGTGTCCCCACTGGGCCTCCTACCGCACTGCCCCCCGACACCCCGCAGACACTCTTTACTCCTTGTGTCCCCACTGGGCCTCCTACCGCACTGCCCCCCGACACCCCGCAGACACTCTTTACTCCTTGTGTCCCCACTGGGCCTCCTACCGCACTGCCCCCCGACACCCCGCAGACACTCTTTACTCCTTGTGTCCCCCACTGGGCCTCCTACCGCACGGCCCCCCGACACCCCGCAGACACTCTTTACTCCTTGTGTCCCCACTGGGCCTCCTACCGCACTGCCCCCCGACACCCCGCAGACACTCTTTACTCCTTGTGTCCCCACTGGGCCTCCTACCGCACTGGCCCCCGACACCCCGCAGACACTCTTTACTCCTTGTGTCCCCACTGGGCCTCCTACCGCACTGGCCCCCGACACCCCGCAGACATTCTTTACTCCTTGTGTCCCCACTGGGCCTCCTACCGCACTGCCCCCCGACACCCCGCAGACACTCTTTACTCCTTGTGTCCCCACTGGGCCTCCTACCGCACTGGCCCCCGACACCCCACAGACATTCTTTACTCCTTGTGTCCCCACTGGGCCTCCTACCGCACTGCCCCCCGACACCCCGCAGACACTCTTTACTCCTTGTGTCCCCACTGGGCCTCCTACCGCACTGCCCCCCGACACCCCGCAGACACTCTTTACTCCTTGTGTCCCCACTGGGCCTCCTACTGCACTGCACCCCGACACCCCGCAAACATTCTTTACTCCTGTGCCCCCACTGGGCCTCCTACCGCACTGGCCCCCGACACCCCGCAGACACTCTTTACTCCTGTGTCCCCACTGGGCCTCCTACTGCACTGCACCCCGACACCCCGCAAACATTCTTTACTCCTGTGTCCCCACTGGGCCTCCTACCGCACTGCCCCCCGACACCCCGCAGACACTCTTTACTCCTGTGTCCCCACTGGGCCTCCTACCGCACTGGCCCCCGACACCCCGCAGACACTCTTTACTCCTTGTGTCCCCACTGGGCCTCCTACCGCACGGCACCCCGACACCCCGCAGACACTCTTTACTCCTTGTGTCCCCACTGGGCCTCCTACCGCACTGCACCCCGACACCCCGCAGACACTCTTTACTCCTGTGTCCCCACTGGGCCTCCTACCGCACTGCACCCCGACACCCCGCAGACACTCTTTACTCCTGTGTCCCCACTGGGCCTCCTACCGCACTGCACCCCCTGACACCCCGCAGACACTCTTTACTCCTTGTGTCCCCACTGGGCCTCCTACCGCACTGGCCCCCGACACCCCGCAGACATTATTACTCTTCCTGCTTCTCTATCTGGACGTAAGAAATATTTAAAGCCTAAAGAATAAAAAAACAAGCTGTCTACTGACTAATTATTTTCCGACAGAATTCAGTAGGTGCTCCCTTTATCTGAAGTATTAGAGCACTGAAGAAACGTATCATTATTCACTTCACGTCAGAGCAGGGGTAACGTAAGGGACCAGGGAAGAGCAAGGATGTTCTAAACTGTCCCTGAACAACCGTCACGGCTCCCAGTGCTGAGCAGGCGCCCCCTGCAGGGCGCCCGGGGGAAGGAGCGCCACGCCCCGACGAGAGTCCCCCTTGACTGCGAACCGGCACCGTGGTCCCCACGGGCTCCAGTGTCCCTGGGAAGAGACGACTGGACAAGCCCCGGGCTCCTGGGCGTAGGCTGTGGCCCCTGGAGAGGGCAGCAGAGGGTTCGAGGGCCCGTCTTCCTTCAGCAGAGCCTGTGGCCCCATCAGCCCTGAATACCCGGCAGTAGGCTGGGCGGAACCGACGCCTCGGGGTACTGAAGAGAAGCTTATAGCCCTGTGCCAGACGATGCCCGCAGTAACCCCAGTTCTCAAATGCCCAAATCCTGACGTGATGATTAACCAGGTGTTTACACTTACTCGGTCAGAAAGAGGCCAATTCTTACTTCCTCCTAAAATTGTCCTTCTCGCTCATGATGTTCCTATTCATTTATGCCCCACAGAAACAACGACCTGGTACACGCAGCAACGCAGCCAGCGCCTCACTTCCAGACCGCCCACAGCACCGTTGACTCCGGCCCCCAGGGAACTGGAATGAGGGGCAGGGGGTACAGGAGCTGCCACTGCCACCCGACCCCCCAGACCCCAAACCAGTCTGTTCCACTGTAGCTTCAGAGAACCATGGCCCAGTGCTAGCTAACTATTTCAACTTTTTTTTTCTTTTTCGATTTCGATACATTGGTCGGAACAAGAGGCAAAAGATGGTCTTCTTGTTTGGCACTATTAACATTAATCACTGTTAATACGGTTCTGTTAAAGAATATGCGAAATCAGTACAGTTAGAAGTATACCAACCCGCTTAGGTTCGACGGTGTGAGAAAAGTATATTGTTGGCACAGAACAGTCTCCAGCCCCCAAGGCATCGAGGACACTTTCATCGTCCTCGCTGCCATCGCTGTCGCCGTCGTCATCTTCACGGCTGCGGCAGGAGTGCGAGCCGTTCACCGAGGCGCTCGAGAGACTGCCCTCCTGCCCACGGCGCAGTTCTGAACTGGTGGCGTCCCCGAGACGACAGCTGGGAGCCGCAGCCTCGGGCCCCGGACGTGCCGTATCCACACTGCCGCCCGGGTCTTCCCTCTCTTCGGAAGACCCTGTGTCTTCTCCATTTGCAATCACAGTATCAGGCTTGCTAGTCGAGAAAAGGAGAAAAACAGCAAAATGAAACCAATGTGCTGGACGCTTACATTTTCTAATTTTCAGTTCATTTCGTGGGTAAAAATTAAGATTTTGAATAGGATACTTTTTAAACTAGAATTCTAGATGAACAGAAATTTTATGACATAAACAGAAAAACATTAGTTTCCATGCTGATTCTGTACACTGTAGTTATTTAAACATGAGTAGAATAGAGTAGATGATTTTCTTCATCTCTCCATGGAGGACCCTGGCCATACAAAATATAAGTACAGTGTAAATAATACGACCATAAATTTTTCAGAAATTCAAAGGTCTCTATATCTGTTTAAAGATCCGAAATTAAAGCCACAGAATATACGCATTTTTATTGTCCATCTGTTTCTACATCAGGAACATTTACAAGTATGTAATTTTTTTAAATAACAAATTTACACATGTGCACATAAATATAATTTTATATATATATCATATATGCACATTTTTCATGCTTCATTCTACAAAGAGTTTGAGGACCTTATAAAATATCAAAACCAAAAATGCAATAGAAACCAAAAACACCATCCTGCAAAATAAGAGAACAAAAATCACAAGATTCAAAACTAATTTTTTAAAATAATTTTCAGAGATTTTTATTGGCTTATTTTAGAGCGAAGAAGGGAGAGGGAGACAGAAACATCGATGTGACAGCGGAACATCGACTGGCTGCCCGCCGCCTGCCCCCCCCCCCCCCCGCAGCCCGCCAGCGACCCGGCACGTGCCCTAACCAGGAATCGAACTGGCAACCTACTGGTGCACAGGACAGCGCCAACTGAGCCACACTGGCCAGGGCTCAAAACTGATTTTTAAAAATGAAATAGCACCTGTTAATCAAAAAGGCCTAAGAATTTATTGGTTAAAAGGCAGGAAAAAAATACCGTCCTGTGTGCTCCACGTCCTATTTTACACAGGACGGGCTGCGCCCGTGGTCCTGATGGGGCGGAGCCCCCCGGGGTCTCTGCAGTGAGTTCCTGGGGCACTCGGCGTCCCGAGTGAGCGCTCACGTGCACATGAGACGGCGGTCTGTCAAGGTTCACAGACACACACCCGACCAGGTTACCACTGGCTGCTCGCTAAACACACATCTGCAGAAGAAAGCTCGGACACACAGTCCACAGTCACGAACTTAAAGCAAATCTTTCTTTTTAACAAGTTACTCCAATATACAACATGATCCTGACTATAACACAAAATATTTCATTGGAGATGTAACATACAACACACTCATAACTAGTATAAGTCAGCTACTGGTTTATCGTAGCACGTCACTGTGTCGAGTATGGCTGAACGTTGTAATTACACAAACAGCGGTGCTGACCACAAGCACACCTTACACACGTGCGGGCGTGCACATGAACACAGCCCTGCAAGGGAGTACCCTGGAGAAGTGGCATTTATCTTAGGGTGGCAGGTCACTGTGTTGACATTCTCTGCTTTGCTGCACCTCTTCCAAGAGCACACATGAGGAACAGACGTGGGACAATTCCCTGGGAGGGGCTGTCATCAGGTACCTGTCAAGTTCACCCAGCAACTCTTCTTGTCTCTCCAGGTCTTCAAGCCGAGCCCACAGTTCCTGGTCAGCAAGCAAATCCTTGGATTTTATATCATCTGCAAAATCTGCTTCGAAAATATCTGAAGTTTTGGGTTTGGAGTGAGGTTTATGAGCAATTCGATGTTTTGCTATTTTTTGAAAAAGGAAAGACAAGGCTGTTAATAGCCAACCTCAAAAAGGCACACACCTAGACTTAGACTTTCATACGAGGGGGGGATGCTGAGACAGAGGGGCACGGTCTTTAAGCTAAACCGGAGAACTCCGCCGAAACGCGTCTCCTAGAGAATCATGGCTCAAAGTGTAGCCCCAGGCCAGCGGCACTGCACCCCCAGAGGTGTCAGAAAACAGCACCCAGGGGCCCCCAGACCTGCGGGCACTGCACCCCCAGAGAAGGTGTTGGAGGACAGCGCCCAGGGCCCCCCAGACCTGCGGGCACTGCACCCCCAGAGAAGGTGTTGGAGGACAGCACCCAGGGCCCCCCAGACCTGCGGGCACTGCACCCCCAGAGAAGGTGTCGGAGGACAGCGCCCAGGGCCCTCCAGACCTGTGGGCACTGCACCCCAGAGAAGATGTCGAAGGACAGTGCCCAGGGGCCCCCAGACCTGTGGGCACTGCACCCCCAGAGAAGATGTAGAAGGACAGTGCCCAGGGGCCCCCAGACCTGTGGGCACTGCACCCCCAGAGAAGATGTAGAAGGACAGTGCCCAGGGGCCCCCAGACCTGTGGGCACTGCACCCCCAGAGAAGGTGTCGGAGGACAGCGCCCAGGGCCCTCCAGACTGGCGGGCACTGCACCCCCAGAGAAGGTGTCGGAGGACAGCGCCCAGGGCCCCCCAGACCTGTGGGCTTGGGTCGGTTCAGCGAGAGCCAGAGGAGCCGGTCACGCTGAGGAGTGGAGAGCTGCCGGGGCTTCGGAAACCACAGCGCGGTCACCTCTCGCCCTGACCACAGCGCGAATCCCACACTGCCTCCCCGCCTGGGCACGGGCGCTTCCCTGCCCTGGCACCGCCAGGCCGCAGCACCTGCACAGCCCACGGAAGGTACCGGAACATCTACTAGTTTCACATATGAACATTTCTTGTTCTTAGATTGCTTTATCTTATTTGTAACCCTCTGTGGGGGCAGGAGACAGATGAAATCTGAACTCAAACCTCTCTGCTTTTCATTTGGAAAGTTTTCTCGTGAAGCAAATGAACGCTCCGGAGAAAGCATGGGGCGAGGCCGGAAATGCTGTGACTGCAGCACAGACAGTGCCCTCGGACGGCGCCCTGGGACGGGGCCCTGGGACGGCGCCCTGGGACGGGGCCCTGGGACGGGGCCCTGGGACGGCGCCCTGGGACGGGGCCCTCGGACGGGGCCCTCGGATGGGGCCCTGGGACGGCGCCCTCGGACGGGGCCCTGGGACGGGGCCCTGGGACGGCGCCCTGGGACGGGGCCCTCGGACGGGGCCCTCGGACGGCGCCCTCGGACGGCGCCCTTGCCACACACTCAGACCCACACTTCTCTGACTGAAAATAGCAAAGCCATGTCTCATGGCCTGTTCTCTGTAACTACGATTGATGAAATGACATTAACAGGCTTTCACTTCAGACCTGCACACACACGAATCTTTCACTGGTGCCCACAAACAGAAATCGTCCTTGTCTTCCTGCTCCCACGTTCACACAGCTCCTTATCAGCAGACCCCCGTGAGGCCTTGTCGGCAGAGGTGTGGCTTCTAAAACCACCTCTATTTTAAACAGTAAATTCTCTTCGGAGTTCATTACTAAAATATAAACGGCATCGCGGTAAGTGTTAGAAATGAGTCTTCTGCAGCCGGCGCGCCCCGTGCAGCTTCCCAAGGCCTCGCCCTGCACCGCGCAGGACGGGCACTCCGCAGCCGGGCACACCCAGGCCACAGCCACCGGCACGAGGCCGCGGGGACCGGACGCCACGGCGGACCGTCCGTAGGCAGCACGCGCGGATGGCTGATGTGCTCGGCTGCACTCAGCCCTCCTTCCAAAAACAGCACCTACAGCGAGTCTCAAAGGAGAAAACTACCAAAAGCTCCGCCACACCTGAACTGGGGCCACGGCCCGTCGGGCGCAGATCCCGCGCAGAGTGCGCAGCCGCGGAGGGCCTGGCCCGGACCGGCTCCGAGGAAGCCAGGTGGCCTCACCCCAGACTCCTCAGACCCAAGTGTTTCACCCAAAGCCACTGACCCACTAGTGCGTTCTATTTTAAAATATGTAACAAGTTTATATCAAACTTATAACAATGATAACAATTAGTGGATAAATGGAACAAATGTTTGCACCTTACAAATTAAAAAGTATCATATAATATAACCCCAAATATCTCACAAGAGATTTCCTGAAATGCAACACAATTGGCAAATACTTAAATAACTATACAAACAACCATCGTATTGCTTACCTTTAAATTCAAAGCCGCTTTTAATTTCTTCTCTTATGTCAACAATATCACCTGCAGCCTGATTTTTTAAACAAAAAGAGCATATTTGAGTCCTCAGGGTATTAAGACTGTTGTAAGTACACTCATACAGCCTAAGAAAAATGTCTGAAAGCATGTGAAAGCGCAATTGATTTATTCCTTGGATGTAAGATCTTTTTTCAATATGAATTTTTTTCTTTAAAAAAAACGAAACAGGAAAACACTCACATCACTCATTTTCTGCAAATCTTCTGTAAATTCAACTCTGGATTCAAAGTTTCTCATCACCTTTTTGAGGTCGTCGACTGTCTTCCTCACGTCTGAAACGACAAGCCCTCTGTGACGCCCGGCACGTCAGACCATTCACCTGGGGTGCTGCTACTCACAAGTTAACGATTCGATAAGAATGCTTTACAAGACTCCTACCTCATTTTCATGTTCATTTGAAATGGATTTCTTAAAAGTGTAGTCACACTGTTTTGTTCTCTGAGCTATGACCACGTTGCTCAGGACTAACGAAGTGTCTGACAACAGTTTCTCTACATAAGAAAACACGGACCGAGACGCCGGCTGGAGCACAGTGC